CCATGTTCACTCCTATTTGCAAAGTTTTCTCTTTACGCTGATGACACTGTCCTTTATTGTTGTGCACATTCTGTTCATGCTGACACTTTCAATCCACAGCTACCCAATTTTATTCTACTAATGTCCGGCAGAAAACATTTGGGAACCCTTGGTTAAAGTATGTGAGGGTATGTGAGTCCTTTTTATACCTCAATAACAAAAGGAGTCCCTCAAGGTTCAGTTCTTGGGCCACTTTTAATCACCACACACATAATCCATTTCGCTCCAATTTGCAAGTTTTCTCTTTACGCTGATAACACTGTCCTTTATTGTTGTGCACATTCTGTTCATGCGACACTTTCAATCAGAGCTGTTCTATTTTTATTTCTGCTAAAACATCTTCATAACTTGAAATGTTGAACTGGTTCTGAACTGTGCAAAGAAATAAAGGATGATCCATGAACAATCACGTGAAGCATTTTTTGTAACAGTTCTATATGAGAATAAGATTTAATTTAGCCTTTTATCTTTCCTCAAGGACACACCTTTTATGCAAATGCTTTGTGCAGCTGTGTGAATGTTTCCATGGCGACACTAAGCCGGAAACTTTTACTCCAGATTCGGATCAGGGAGGCTGAAGGATTACCTTCTGATGTCCGAGCGAAGAACCTGATCTCGTATCAGTGTCAGTGTGAGAGCCCGTTACCTAATGTAGACTTCATCATAAATCACAGAATGAACATCAAAGACAAGCCGGTGCACATTCACACAGCCATGAGCGCATGATACACATGTGACACACACATGCGCACGCGCACACACACACACACACACACACACACACACACACACACACACACACAGTAATTAGTGTCTCCACGACTGTCCCAAACAGATTAACAGAAGAGAACGTCAGGAACGCTGAGAATGTGGCAGGTGACAGTTTACAGAGGACATGTCAACCTGTGTGAGTGTGTGTGTGTGTGTGTGTGTGTGTGTGTGTGTGTGTGTGTGTGTGTGTGTGCGTGTGAGAGAGAGAGAGTGTGTGTGTGTGTGTGTGTGTGTGTGAGAGAGAGAGAAAGTGTGAGTGAGAGTGTGTGTGTGTGTGTGTGTTTCCAAATATCAGAGGAGAGTGTGTGTAATTTTATCTCTTCTGGCCAACAGTGACCCATTTCTCAGCCTTGTCTGGGACTGTGTGTGTGTGTGTGTGTGTGTGTGTGTGTGTGTGTGTGTGGTTATACGTCTTCTCCCATGTTCTGAACGCCCCATTCCCAAGACACTGCCAACACCCCGGGGCCCTCTCACACACACACACACACACACACACACACACACACACACACACACACACACACACACACAACACACACACACACACACACACACACACACACACACACACACACTAAAACTGTTTTCAAACCTGAACTGCAAATAATCAACTGAGGAGGAGGTGATGGATTCTGATTGGCCCTCCATGGATCAACAGGAGAGAGGGAGGGAGAGCTAGCCACTCACAAGATGGAGACTCCAAAAAATGCACTTCTTTTCTTTTCTAAAAGACGTGTTAGGTGGTGCGTTTCCATGACTTACAGGACGTCCCATCCTCTCTCCAACATGGCCGCTCCTCGCTCTCTCTCCTTCCACAAACTTTAACTCCACATCCATCTTTCACTGCATTCGGTGCTTTGTGCGGTTTTTTTATTTTAGGATTTCCTGCTGCTCCCCGTCTCAGTTCTTTGACCTCTGCAGGATCTATTTTTGAGACTACATCTGACCTTTGACCTCTGGCTTCTTATTTTTAGGTTAGTAAACAGTCTGAGAAACAGAAGAGGGGTTTCCCCATGTAGCATGCGTCGACACTTCTTCTTCTTCTGTAGAAAGACGGAGATAGGTTACTTCCTGTAAGTCCATTTTGACCCTAACCCAACACACAGATATAAAAAAACAAAAAGGCAGACGAGGGCCGACAGGTAGCGACGGAGCCGGACACACGTCATGCATCATGTTGGAGCTGAATCCCAGCTGTCCACAATACAAATGACAATAAGCAAAATATTGAAAATGAAAGAGATCAATCCACACACACACACACACCTCACATTTATTTATTTATTTTCTGAAGCTCGGTGGCGTCGGCCTCTTCCAGTCTCTGTCCATCAACACATCTGTTTGAATGTGTGAAGAGACCAATGAGGAGTCCTCCGAGAAAATGGTTTGAATGCAGTGATCGCCTGAGTTTCCCTGCTGGATGTCGCCCCCTACAGGTACTTTCAGAGAACTACAGCTGCTGTCCGCTCTGGTCAACATGGAAGCAGCTTTTACTGTTCATCCGTCGTTGAAGCAAAATGTGCAATATCATCTTTACAACGAGAGGGAAACGTCCATGTTTGTTTTACTGTCTGGATGCAGAGACGTGAACTTCTCTGGGAGGGAAAATCACAAGTTCAGTCGTCTCTCTTTGCACGTTTCTTTAAAGTCGTCCTGTGGTGTCTCGTTTCAACACTGTTATGAAAATGTCCTCTAATGCAGCGCGGTCACACCTCCCACTCTGAGAGTCTGTTATTAAGCATAAGCACAGTGTTCCCTTCTGTTCCAGGCTTTATCAATATAATTAGATATTGTGAATATGTGGTTATTAAAAAGCTGTTTAGTTAAATCACTATATCCTGAAGCATGTTTATTTGTGTTCTTTCACGCTCTGCTCCACCAAGCTCACAGTAATGACATCATCTTTAGTCTTTTATGTTGTTTAAGTATTTCAGTAAAAAAATGGTATGAGCGTCAAAATCTGTACAATTACATAATCATCAAAACAATGATGAGCAATACTGTGAGGTGTTTCTAATTCATTTATTTGATTTAAAAACATTTAATTACAAAGTAATAGAGTTATGATAATGATGTTTAAAAAATTGATTGAAATAGGAGGAAGAATTAAATAATATAAATTAGGTCTGCTGCTAAATATGGCTGGATAAAATGTCCTTAGTGATTCAATAAAAAGCCGTTTTGATGCCGAATGTTTCGGCTCTAATTTCTGAGCTGACAGAAATAATCTGTTCCACTGGAAATATCTTCAATTCACATAAATGATTAAATTGAGATTTTTTATACAGGAAACTCGTTTACAGTAACATCCGCCAATCGCCTTCGTTGAGTGACGCGCCGGAACCGGAAGTACATCACTTGTTGTTGTTTTTTTCTGCTCGCAGAGTTCTCTCCTCCATCGGACACTTTGAGGAGTTTGAGCCAAAATGGAGTACAAGCTGATCGTGGCGGTCTCCAGCTTCCCGAGTCTGTACGACCCGAGCTGCCCGACCTACAGAGACCTGAACACGAGGAGCGACTCGTGGAGACAAGTGTCGCAGCTCGTCGGTGTCCCCGGTGAGAGTTTCCGGTTCTGTGCTGCTTCATAAACAGTCCGTGCTAACACCAACACAGAGTTTATCTCATGAGGCTTCACGTGAGACGGCGTTAAACATTTTACTCTTCTAGTCTTGACGGAATCCGTTCTTAAAGATCAAAACAAAGCAGGTCCGTCCCTAAATACAGTCCGATTTCTGGCGACACCCTCGTCCTGCGCACATTGGTTCCACCTGAGGATGTAACTGTTTGGAAAGCCGCTGTTATAATTATATTTTAATTTATATATTTTTAATTTCACATTTCCTAAACAAACACACCGTACACGCTTTGTTTTTTCCCTCAGGTTTTTTTGTTGTTGTTTTGTTTTCATTCCTGTTTTCTCTCTGTGTGCCTGTAAAATTGTCCTCCCCGTTTTGTCCTTTGTGTCACTATTTGTTTTTGTTATTTCACGAATAAAAGGAAAAAAATTAAATTAAAGATAATAATTTCACATTTCCATTTTTAAAAAGTACATCAACAACATCATTTCCCGAAATTCAATTGTTTGCATTTTTAAAATAAAAAGTGCTTTGAGCATGATCCAGTTAATCTGGATTTATTCAGGTCTGGAATTAATCGTGATTAATCAATTGCTATTTTGTCGCTTAAGGCGCACCGTAGTTAAGAAATGTTTCCTACTTATTTGTGTAATTGAGACGTTTACCTTCATCTTTTGGGGGGTAAATTAAAGCAATAAAAGACCCAATACCGGGTGCCCAGGACTTCTACTTTTGTTGCCATGGTAACACATATATGCATCAAATCAAGGTTTTTATTTTCTGGTTCGGTGATGACCAGAAGCTTTATTCTGAAGCGGGGTTATTTCCTCTCCTCCATCAGAGCCGGAGTGCAGGAGGAAGTGGAAGATGCTGCGGGACCAGCACAGGAGGGAGAGGCTGCGGGAGAAGGACAGACGGGAGAGCGGCATCGGCCTCCTGAACTACAGGCCGTGGAGGTATTCAGCCATCCTGTCCTTCTTGAACCGTTTATCGACGCCAGGGCGGCGGGGACCAACGGCTGGGCTCTGGACCCGCAGCCCTACTTCCAGGCGTCTGAGGTGGTGGGCTGCAGCACGACCAGCGAGGCGCGCAGCGACGACGACGACAATTACGGTTAGTAGATGTAGATTTAACCTTCAGAGAACACGGGAGAGAGTTATTTCTGGCGTTTGGAGGGAAATGTAACGACGTGATATTTGTCTTTCTAGGTTTCGCTGTAGCGTACGCCACAACAACAACGACATCGTCCTCCTCCTCCTCAGAGTTCGTTCAGAGGAAGCGGCCATCTTCTGCCAACAGAGACACCGCCAGACTCAAAGAGGCGAAGGTCGAGGTGACCTCTGACCCCGCTGCTACAGACGACGGCGTGCAAACGCAACAAGCGCAGCAGGCTAACATGAGGGAGCTGTTTGAGACCATCATGCACTCGGTGACATCATTAGCCACGTCCCTCGCGTCCTCACAGTCGTCCTCGCAGCTCTCAGATCAGCTGACGCCTCCGTCCCCCTCGGCCGTGCAGCCTGATCTGCAGACGTCCCGCAACCCGCCGCCGCAGCCGCCGTCCAGGCTCCACCAGCTGAAGACGGAGGAGCAGCAGGAGGTCATGGAGGCGGAGCTTCTAGACCAAACGGACGGAGAGGAGGAGGAGTTTCACACGGCGGCGTCTCCGAGGCCGACCCGCGTCTGGAGGAGGAGGAGGAGCACGGAGGAGAGCCTGCTGGAGGAGCACCTGAGGAGGACGGAGGCCCGGGAGGCTCAGAGAGAGCGGGACGCGGAGAAGAGGGACGACGTGACGCTGTTTTTACTCAGCCTGGCGCCGGCCATGAGGAGACTCACCGCCGAGAAACAGTCGTGGCTCCGGACGAAGATTCAGCAGTTTGTGCACGAGGCCGAGTTTGGTGCTGCGGACTTTCAGTGATCCTCATTTGAAAAACTCTTATATGTAATGCCAGGATGAGCCTGCAGGGGCCGCTAGAACAAAGCCTTACAGAGACTCTCTTCTCCCAGCACTGGAGAGCAGCCCTCCCCCTGGCAGCCCTGCAGCATTCTGCCCCTCCTCCAGAAGGCTTCCAGTGAGCCGACCAATCAGAAGAAAGTGGGCATGTGGGGAGGCGGGACTTAAAGAGACAGCAGCTGGAGGTTTTTTGAGCTGCAGATCTCGTGAAGCTGCTCTGAAGGTTTCACAGACTGAAAGATGAAGATGACATATTTTAACTTTTTTTATAAATACTGTATGCATTACATGATAATCTGATTTAAGTAGGGATGCTACGATACCTCACAATTCAAATATGGACACCTTAAATGGATAAAAAAAAAGATGCCAACGTTGGGTCATTTATTGTTTTCAGTTATCAAAAATGTAAAATCTTTGGTATCTAATATCGTTAACAGATGTGTGGAATTTGCCATCAAAAAAGTTATTTTTGATGGATTCATTCCTCTGTCCAATGAAATTGAGTTTTTTCAAGTGTCTCCACTTTTCAATACTATTGATCATTAAAGGAGACATATTCTGAAGAATCCTCTTCTTCAGTGTTTCTGAACATATATCTGGGTAACCTGAGAGTCTACTGACCCACAACATGTGAAATAAACCCATCCAGTCCTTTGTTTGTGGTCTGCATAAGTCTTACAACACAGAGAAAAATGCTCTGTTTCAAATGTGCTCTCCTGAATTGGTCAATTCAGAATAAAAAATGGAAGTGTTCACAGAAATGTCCGACTTTAATACAGACCTTTGACTCAAACGGGTAACTATACTCATTCTTCCTCAGTTTGCTGGTTTATAACTGCCCTGCTCCTACTTGATGTGTGTATAACTACCTCCCTTTACGGGTTGTATTTGTCACATCTGCATGTAGATGACAGTACTCAACGTTAAAGACTGTTACAGGAGTTGTTACGACAGCGTTATGTTTACGGCACTAGACTGCTTTACGACAGGCAGAACATGCTTTTGCACTGCGTTATTTTCTCTCCTGAAAATGGAGCTGTATGTTGATCACCTACAATAAACCTGTGTGGTAAAAGTAACTCGACCCTCGATCATTCTACAATATTTAGAAGAATTTGTACCTCCTTATACTGAGAGTATACTTTACTTGATGTTTATATTCAACCCTGCTTTTATTTTGAAATAAAGTGAGTGTGACACCTTTTCTAAAATCTGAAAGGAGAAGTGTTTTTAAAAGAGAAATGTTCTCTGTTGTAAACAAGTATCTCTCTCAAACCGCTCCTCTTCCTGGAATGAAACGTAGTTCGATCAGCCCTCCCTCTTCTTCCTGCTCTCAAACACAGCCTGCTGCACTCTGTCCTCATACTTCCTGGTTCCCTCCCCTTTAGATCTACAGTTTGAGGATGGGTGTAACCAACAAGAGCTGCACAGTCACATGCACATCCACATGCTTTGTAGATCAGAGGTGAAACTTGTTTTCCGTTATGAGGAAGTGAAACTCAGACAGTCGTTGTTACCGAGAGGAGAAATGGCGCAGAAAGGAGTTCAGCTGGACCGGGAAACCTTCTCTTGTTCGATCTGTCTGTATCTCCTGAAGGATCCGGTGACTCTTTCCTGTGGACACAGCTACTGCATGAAGTGTATTAAAAGCCACTGGGATACAGAGGATGAGAAGACAGTCTACAGCTGCCCTCAGTGTAGACAGACCTTCACAGCGAGGCCTGACCTGAGGAAAAACACCATGTTGGCAGATTTAGTGGAGGAGCTGAAGAAGACTGGACTCCAAGCTGCTCCTGCTGATCACTGCTATGCTGGATCTGAAGATGTGGCCTGTGATGTCTGCACCGGGAGAAAACTGAAAGCCTGTAAGTCCTGTCTGCAGTGTCTGGCCTCTTACTGTGAGAAACACCTCCAGCCTCATTATGATTCACCTGCCTATACAAAACACAAGCTGGTGGAGCCCTCCAAGAAGCTCCAGGAGAACGTCTGCTCTCGTCATGATGAGGTGATGAAGATGTTCTGTCGTACTGATCAGCAGTCTATCTGTTATCTCTGCTCTGTGGACGAACACAAAGGTCATGACACAGTCTCAGCTGCAGCAGAAAGGAGCGAGAAGCAGAGAGAGCTGGAGGTGAGTCGACAAAACATCCAGCAGAGAATCCAGGACAGAGAGAAAGATGTGAAGCTGCTCCAACAGGAGGTGGAGGCTATCAATGGCTCTGCTGATAAAACAGTGGGGAACAGTGAGAAGATGTTCACTGAGCTGATCCGTCTCATGGAGAAAAGACGCTCTGATGTGAAGCAGCAGGTCAGATCCCAGCAGCAAACTGAAGTGAGTCGAGTCAGAGAGCTTCAGGAGAAGCTGGAGCAGGAGATCACTGAGCTGAAGAGGAGAGACGCTGAGATGAAGAAGCTGTCACACACACAGGACCACAACCAGTTTCTACACGACTACCCCTCACTGTCACCACTCAGTGAATCTACACACTCATCCAGCATCAAGATCCGTCCTCTGAGGTACTTTGAGGACGTGACAGCGGCTGTGTCAGAAGTCAGAGATAAACTACAGGACGTCCTGAGAGAGAAATGGACAAACATCTCACAGACAGTGACTGAAGTGGATGTTTTACTGTCAGAACCACAGCCCAAGACCAGAGCTGAGTTCTTAAAATATTCATGTGACATCACACTGGATCCAAACACAGCACACACAAAGCTGTTATTATCTGATGGGAACAGAAAAGTAACATTTACGAGTCAGATCAATCCTTATTCTAGTCACCCAGACAGATTCACTGGAAGGGAGCAGGTCCTGAGTAAAGAGAGTCTGACTGGACGTTTTTACTGGGAAGTCGAGCAGAGAGGAAGACGAGTTTCTGTAGCAGTCACATACAAGAATATCAGCAGAGCAGGGAGTTCGAATGAGTGTAGATTTGGACGTAATGACAAATCTTGGGCGTTATATTGTTTCAACAACAGTTATAACTTTTGGTACAACAATGTCCACACTCCTGTCTCAGGTCCTCAGTCCTCCAGAGTAGGAGTGTACCTGGATCACAGAGCAGGTATTCTGTCCTTCTACAGCATCTCTGAAACCATGACTCTCCTCCACAGAGTCCAGACCACATTCACTCAGCCTCTACATGCTGGACTCAGGTTTTATTATGTTGGAGACTCTGCTGAGTTGTGTAAACTGAAATAGACAGAAGTCATTAATGAGACAGATGTTTAACTTGCTGTGTTTTAAATCTTCAACTTGATTTTTATCCACGCTCGTTGCTGAGATCTGATCGTAGTCACCTGTCAATCAAACTTTATGGGCGGTACTTTGACCTCTTCTCGTCTGTTCTGTAAATGTTTGAGTGTCTTTAAGTGACACTCCTTCCTGTGTCTGTTTAGCCGTGGACTCTTTCACTGCTCAGGATGACTTTTGTTCACCTGAACTGACATTTCTCTGAGTGATAAATATCAACTTCTCTCTGCTCTCCATGTTTGATTATTTGTTTTCATACATTTATATTTTCTGTTGTTTCTGTTCTGATTCAGGAGTCTGAAGAGAGAGAGAGAGCAGCAAACTTTTCTTTCATGCTGATTTTCTCTTCTCACCACTTTGTACATTTGTAGAAAATCTATAAAATCACACTTAAAGAAATGAGTTAGTCAGAATAAATGTTGTTGTTCATATTCAAAGTGATGTAAAGATGTCCTCTGAGGTGTTTTAAAAATGTAATCCTCCTGATTAAATCAATAAGGAGATAAATCATTGTTTTCTGTGAGTGGAGATTCTGATCAAACAAAGTGATTGTGTGGATGAAGTGAATGTGTTCATGAAATGATTGAACACACTTTACTGATTTGATGTGTGAACAAACTGAAGTTTGACATCCTGAATAAACTCACATGAACTAAATGTTTTCTTCTGGTCTTCATTGCAAACAATGGAAGCCCATTTCCACCAGCTGAAAAAATAAAAATGAAGACTTGGCTTCGTTGAGATTTTTTTTTTGCTCATAAATCGAAATCATGAGGTAAAAAGTCAAAACATTTAAAGGGGACATATTATTTAAAATCCTCTTCTTCAGTGTTTCTGAACATATATTTGGGTAACCTGAGAGTCTACTGACCCAAAACATGTGAAATAAACCCATCAAGTCCTTTGTTTCTGGTCTGCATAAGTCTTACAACACAGCATTACATTTAAAGAGACCAAAACGGAGCGTTCTGAGAGAGCTGGTTTATAGAGGGTCACAAACCTCCTCTGGTGCTTGATTCATGTTATATTTTGACCAAAGCACAGCACAGATGTTTCATTTAGACCACAGAGGACTGTTTGAAAAGGTGGAGGAGGGGACTGTTTGAAAAGGTGGAGGAGGGGACTATTTGAAAAGGTGGAGGAGGACTGTTTGAAAAGGTGGAGGAGGGGACTGTTTGAAAAGGTGGAGGAGGGGACTGTTTGAAAAGGTGGAGGAGGACTGTTTGAAAAGGTGGAGGAGGGGACTGTTTGAAAAGGTGGAGGAGGGGGACTGTTTGAAAAGGTGGAGGAGGACTGTTTGAAAAGGTGGAGGAGGGACTGTTTGAAAAGGTGGAGGAGGACTGTTTGAAAAGGTGGAGGAGGACTGTTTGAAAAGGTGGAGGAGGGGACTGTTTGAAAAGGTGGAGGAGGGGACTGTTTGAAAAGGTGGAGGAGGACTGTTTGAAAAGGTGGAGGAGGACTGTTTGAAAAGGTGGAGGAGGGGACTGTTTGAAAAGGTGGAGGAGGGACTGTTTGAAAAGGTGGAGGAGGACTGTTTGAAAAGGTGGAGGAGGACTGTTTGAAAAGGTGGAGGAGGGGACTGTTTGAAAAGGTGGAGGAGGACTGTTTGAAAAGGTGGAGGAGGACTGTTTGAAAAGGTGGAGGAGGACTGTTTGAAAAGGTGGAGGAGGAGGGGACTGTTTGAAAAGGTGGAGGAGGGGACTGTTTGAAAAGGTGGAGGAGGACTGTTTGAAAAGGTGGAGGAGGACTGTTTGAAAAGGTGGAGGAGGAGGGGACTGTTTGAAAAGGTGGAGGGGGACTGTTTGAAAAGGTGGAGGAGGGGACTGTTTGAAAAGGTGGAGGAGGACTGTTTGAAAAGGTGGAGGAGGACTGTTTGAAAAGGTGGAGGAGGAGGGGACTGTTTGAAAAGGTGGAGGGGGACTGTTTGAAAAGGTGGAGGAGGGGACTGTTTGAAAAGGTGGAGGAGGACTGTTTGAAAAGGTGGAGGAGGACTGTTTGAAAAGGTGGAGGAGGGGACTGTTTGAAAAGGTGGAGGAGGACTGTTTGAAAAAGTGGAGGAGGGGACTGTTTGAAAAGGTGGAGGAGGACTGTTTGAAAAGGTGGAGGAGGAGGGGACTGTTTGAAAAGGTGGAGGAGGACTGTTTGAAAAGAGGACTGTTTGAAAAGGTGGAGGAGGACTGTTTGAAAAGGTGGAGGAGGACTGTTTGAAAAGAGGACTGTTTGAAAAGGTGGAGGAGGACTGTTTGAAAAGAGGACTGTTTGAAAAGGTGGAGGAGGACTGTTTGAAAAGGTGGAGGAGGACTGTTTGAAAAGAGGACTGTTTGAAAAGGTGGAGGAGGGGACTGTTTGAAAAGATGGAGGAGGA